TCGTTCTTCACTTTTCTCCAAAACGGCGCTGTCAAAGCAATTACTAGAGGCTCCGGCTTCTTGACTTACGACGTCGAAGAAGGCGTTCTTATCTCGTTCATCTCTGTTTTCTTCTACTTCAAAATTTTCAGAGTCGGCCTTCTGCAAAACGGCGTCGGTTTGGTCTAAATCGAACATTTCTTGAACGACGCCGTCTTTGTGGTCGGACGATGATAACTGCCGTAGTTGGTCTTGACGATCGAGACCGACGGTAGGTTTGGAGTTGCAGTCGTCCGCCATTGTTGTGAGTTTCGCTGCTGATTCTTCCAGCCGGATGAGACTTTGAGAGCTTCTGAATAGGGAGAATGGCGTTCAACTCTTTATACTCTCGTAGACTAATATACTATTGCGCTTCAGGTGCTTGTACTGCATGCACGGGGTTTATACATTGTACAAGACTACTTGGGGCTCTGGTTTTTCTGTTTTTCTTTTCTTTTGTTTTATTTTTTCCTGAAAGATATGGGGAGGGTGCGCGGCGTGCGCCTATAATATGGTTGTGATTACAGTGATCTTAGGGTTACTAGGAGAGATAAACCGCGCTTCGCACGGTGGAGTACAAAACATGAATGCCCATAGAAGCATTAAAATTTTGTAAATAATAGTTCGGATTGCTTATCAGTAATTATAGATAGAAATTAATATTGAAGTTGTACGTACTGATTAACAACACAAAACTGTGGGACAAATGTAACAAGATAATTCGGTAACCGAGTTATCTCTCTTGTTTTAGGAAAGGAAATGTCGTTACAGATATAACAAGAGAATTTGAAATTTATAGAAATACTAATATATTAGATGTGAAATGTATGATTCACGGATACATGATTTCTCTTCTATCCCATGACAACCGCGTATTAGTGTGGAGGGGAAAAAAAATGGAGATGCCCAGTTTAATGAAATGATTTGTACATATTCAAAATGGATCCATTTAATGGAATTGTTTGTGCCTGATGGAATTTAATTACAGATAAACCAAAAAAACCTATAACATAGAGAGTCTAATAAATTCAATAATGAATTCCCCTAAACTAATTACATTAATAAATAAGAAAGCATGCAGCATGGAGCTTGAAACGCACAATGCATCTTTCCCATGTCCAAAAGTAATTTTGTTTCTGCTGCCACCCATGGCAAGATTTGCTAAGTTCTCCAGCGACAACCTAATCATGAAATTATAACAATAAAATCTTAGTATATATTCCATTGCAGTTAGCAATAGACCTCGACACCAATACATAGAAACTGGAAAGGGGTCAGGAGACATTGATTGATCCCAAAACAAACAAGATAAACTCGACAACTTTAAAACTTGTAATATTCATACAAAATCTTAACCCACATTTTCCCCTCTTAAGAGGAGCATGATATATATTTTGTCTATTATTAAGTATCTAAGAAAAGAGATCTAAAGCATCTATAAGTTGTAAAGTTAGAGTAACTTGCATGGTAACTCATAACTCCACCAAAGCAGATAAATTGGCTACTTTGCTATTTCCAAAAAATTGAAATTAAAAGAATTCAGAATGCAATCTATTGCAGTATGGCCATCCATGTGTGAGGACCCGTACTTTTCTTAATTGCACGTTTTCTGCATTTTCTTTATTAGAAAATTTTTCTAGAGCAATTTTATGAGTAAATATAGTTTTTAAATGATTTTTCTAGTATCGGTTAGTTTTTGAGAAATTAAGAGTGTATACCGGATGTGGGACCCACTAGGGCGAAAAGTTCGGAAAAATTCGACCAATTAGGTTAAGTTCCGGATAGTGGGTGAAATTTATCGGGTGTTAAGAGATAAGTAGAGGATGAGATGTGATTGATGTGAGAGGAAACAAAAGGATAGAAATGCATTTAATGGAGTGACAAGTGTCACACTTCCATTGGTTGAAGCCTAAGACAACTATTCACCTTTTTGACCTTTCTTTACCATTTGATTAAATATCTCAAAATTGACCAAATATTCACTCTTTCTTTCTCCATGTTGGCCGGCCATCTTGAGCTTAAGAGGGAAGAAAACTCTTCAAACTTTTAGCTACCATCTAGTGCAAATCATCCAAACCAATTGCTGAAATTTGTTTCTACTCCATAAAATCCCTCCATTTGGTGCTAGTAAGTGATTTTGTGAAAGTGTTCAAGGAAGCTAAGGTGTCCTACAACTCCTTCTCTCTTGTTTACTAGGTAAGTGGTGATTGAACTTCCTCCTACACTTAATGAAGCTTAAGATGTGCTTAGTGGTAGCTAAAGTGCTGAAATTTGTGGTTTATTTCTTGGTTTGAGATGAATTGGTGAAGTTTTTATTTTATTGATGAATTTCTGGTTTAATGTGATCATGATGTTGTGGTTATCTATGATGGTTGGTAATGAAGGGTAATGACTCTAGTAGGTGTATATGATAGATAATTGCAACCAATTTTGGATTTGGAAGGAAATGTGAAAAGTTAGGGTTTCATATCCCCTTTTCTGTCCGGTTTTGTATCATATGGTTAGAGGCCGAATTGGCCTTGGCTTAAAACATGAAAGTTGTAGGTATTGATGTGTTTGAAGTTCCTGTAAAATTTCAGGTCATTTGGAGTAGTGTAGAGTGAGAAATGTCGATTTTACTGTTGCTGTTCTGGGTTCTTCAGGATGGCCGAACTGCGTTTGTAATTGGCTGTTTTGACTGGAATTGCTTTGGATTTGGTGGTTGAGGTCTTCTGATGAAATGTAGCTTGATGTCCTAGCTACCATATACCTTTGGAATTTCTGCATTTGGACCTGTTTAGACTGAGTTGTACTGATTACAGCATAGTGTAATTTGTAAACCTGCAATTACGGTTCTGGTTTGTTATTTGGCATATTTGACTTAGTTGTGTTGGGATTTGGACTGAGTGACCTTCTACATTGTTGTAGCCCTGGTTCTTAGCTTCGAAATGGTGGGTCTTACACCCTAATCCGATAATCGTAACGCCAATGGTGCCAAAACCGCAAAATGGTGTCACAAACTGTTTTTATCCGGAAATGTTTCTAGCTTGATTTTTGTATTGATATGACTTTAAGCCTAGTGAACGGCTTTTGGACATGAGATTATTCTATATGAGATGTTGGGACTATTTTCTGGAAAATAGGTAAACACAAGGGACATGCCGTCCGTTCATCTTCTTATAATGTAAGCAAGTTAAAGTGATTTTGCGAATGTATTTTGTGAGGAATTGGATGTATTTAATGAAAATGTTACCGGCTCTTTCAAAAGGTGGCCGAGGGCTAAATTTCTATTTGAACCTGTATATTTTCGCTTGGCAAATAAAATGATCATTTTACCATTCTAAAAACCTAATACCTCTTTAGGTTGGTTTATGAACCCTAGTAATTCCCGTCCACGGATCCATATGCTCTATTGACACTTTAAAAGTCATTTTATACGTTTACTCGCGAGTAGTCGGGTAATTCTTGATTTCATCCAAATCATGCTAGATGGATTGTAATGTGTTCTTTGTTTACTTTTAGGTTTCATTGGTGATTGAGAAGTGGACGTTATTTTGCGTGTATAGGTGAGTGTTCCCTGTTTGATATGTTTCCTGATTATATGGCTGGTATGAATGATTGATAACATGTTATATGCTTTCAATGATTGTTAAAATGAGTTTTCTAGGCAAGTGTGTACTTTATCGCACTCGGCCTAAACGATTGTGAAATTTTCAATGATTGAATGATTGAAATGTTATTTGTGCATGAATGTAAGCCTTTTGGCTGAACTGGCCATTGCCCCTTGTTACCGGTCGTCTCGAGCCAGAAGAGGACTCGGTCGGGCGATTAGGGACCTGGGTGAACGTTTTGGTATACTCGAGTATTACCTTGTAGGTTGGTGGAGGTTGGTGGAGCCTGGTGAATGAATGAATGAACGAATGAATGAATGAGGGTTTTACTTATATACAAATGCATTTTCAAATGATTGAAGGTATAAGGGAACGAAAGGAGAATGAATGAACGAATGAATGAACGAATGGCTCCTTGTGAGCACGTATCCTTTTAATGACGGTGTTTATCGCTTTCTTTTGTATTTGAATGATTGGTAACATGTAATGAATGCATTGAACTTCTTGTTTGCCTATGTGTTAGGAACCTCACTGAGCTTTCCAGCTCATCCCTTTAGTTTTGTTTTCCTTAACAGGGGAAGGCGTGCAAGGACGAGAGCCTGTATAGACTAGCTGGGTCTAGCTTTGGTTTTCTTTTGTCATGGTTTTCGCCCTAGTGCTTGGCACGGGCTGGATGTATAGTGATTTGAGAACCTCTGTATATTTGACGGTTGTACTTCTTCTTGAGATATTATTGTATATACGTTTTGTTTTAAGTTGGATCGTGGTTAGATGTTCTTATGGTTGCTTGAAGTGAACGACTGAGTCCCGGCGAGAGCTAGGCAGGCGGTCCGCTGAACCCTCTGGTTCGCCTAAGGGGAAAGTGGGGCTGTTACACCATGTATATCATCCAAAGGAAGAAATTGGAAATAGGTTAACTGGCAACAAATGATCCTAATCCGAATGATAAATTCGACAAGTTCTAACTCCAAAATATCCCAACATTAAACTCATTCAATTGTCGTAAAAGTGAAACATTGAAATAGGAACTATATTATAATTTTTTTTGGAGGGGGAGCAGGGAAGGGGCTGAACACAAAGTCAATGGAATGATCCTAAAATGCACAAACAAAGTGGAAACTTATTCATCATAGGGAGGACATCTTTTATTATGTTAAAACAATACTCCATTCCAAAAGTCAGAGGCATTGACATGTAAGTCAGATTGCATAGTTGCTTTTATCCCCAGAGAAGCTTGAGATATTCTCATCTAAGAATGTGTTTTCTAGATCTAAAATTTAAAATCTTTTCACTGAAAAGTTTAAGTTTTAATAGCTCAATTCTTCCTTTAGCATAAGATAAGAAGTATTAAGAAACTATAAAATCATGAAGGAATATTTGTGTACCTATAAAGGCAAAACCAAGGTTTGTATAGAAGCCTCTATAGGGAAATTTTCTATGCTATAATAATCGAAACTTAATATTTGACACTTAGTAATTGCTAAGGTTTTTCAGGCTTCGGAAACACAGAACAAATGCAACTAATCATAAACAAGTCCTATACTTACTAATCTTCAATTGAGAAAGAAAAGGAAAAATACAGAAGAGAAGGAACTGTATCGAGTCCTATACCTCAAGATGAGTGTACACTAATTCTTGCTTACGTGAAACCAAAGCTTTCTTTAAGCAGTATTAGGCTTTCTTAACTTTGAAAAGAACGCTATATCCTCTGGAAGGCCCATTGTAGGCTTCAAAATCCAATTTAGTAAAATCACCTGTCGGGATTGTCGCATTAAGTTTCTGCTCAGAAAAAAGATTCATGTAAATCAGTCGAAAATAGATGTATAACAAAGTTTCATGTATTCATGTTAAAAGCAAGAAGTGGAAGTTATGAGCCAATCCCATAAGCTAGTCTGAGTGAATTGCTTGGGGATGGTAACATCTCCCATGGACATGGAACTACTAATATTGCCTGATGCCAAAATGCACTACTCCAATTACATCAAACAGATCCAATAGTGATACAAAGTAATAAGGTTAACAGAAACCAATAGCGATACAAAGTAATTTAAAAGCTTCCATTTTAGTGAAGGTTTTCAAGAACAAGGCAAAGCTTTTCTTTTGCTATACAATCTGGAAATTGCAAATGCTGATTAATCAAAATGGAAATATTCAAATCAAGAATAATTACAGCAGCTCTTAGTTGAAATCCCAATTAGATAGAGAAAAGCCCTTTCAGTGGTATATTTGCACTCTAAAACGATGTCAATATGATTCTTTAGATATTTGCAGATGTTTAGTGCACTTGAAACAATAATTCAAAATCAACATCTGGCATTGCAACATAAGAAACACATAAGATGGCCAACCTTTGGAAATCCTCCAATCCCAAGTGCAAATGAACCTGTAGACACAACTGAAACTTGTTTGACAGGGGCAGAGCAGCCAAGCCACATGATAGAACCTTTTCCAAATGATGCAGTGATCTAATACATTGCCTGCATGAGAGCCAAATCTTTCTCTGACATCTGACTTGGATTTTCTTCTACCTTCCATACAAAAAATGACTTGTGTTCATAATGAACTAATGAAGCAAAAAAACTGATATTTTCTACTGCAGAAAGAGCAAAAAGTAGGTACTCTCAAGCAGGAATAATACAATCCTAGGCAAATGTAAAAACTATCAAACTCAAAAAATTTCAGCAAAAGAGCTATACCTAAAAGAACTCATCTAATTCAAAGAATCACATGGGGGAAAAGGGTCAAGTGATTGTTACATTAAAGACAATGCACGTAATGTTAAAATACTCCGGGAGGGAGGTACAAGGCCAAAATATGGCAATAAACTTGCATACTTGGGTGCTTTATAATTTTTTAGTGAACAGAAAACCCCAAAATATGGGGAAAAACATGCAACTGTCACATTAAATAAACATGATGTGTGAAGTATTCAAACACTAAACAAATATATGTATTAGTTTTAACTGATCCTGACAAGGAGCTAAAGCCTAAAAAGATAGACTTCATATGCAAAAGTTATTTTAATTTATCTATTTTTGAAACCCATCAAAATGATCACCAAGATAAGAAGGTATCAGCAGGAAAATAAATTTCGGGCACCTTTTGGAGGAAAAGTAGGAGAGCTGAGTGGATGCCCCTGACAAACCTTTCCTATAAGTCTGAATCAACAAACAACAAATTCATGTCATGACTCATAAAGAAAGTGAGAAACAAAATAAAAAAAAGAAAAGCAGTACTAATTGAAAAATGATATCAGAAAATGTATCAAACAAAAGACTTTTTCTTTATACAGTATGCAAGTTTAATAATTTTAAGAAAAAGGATCAACTTCTGCAAGTTAGCAAAGTAAAGCATTTGACTTTCGTAATTGGTAGGAAATTATAGTATAATCATTTATTCGCAGCTTCCAATTGCTAGTAACAAGTATAAACACTATATTACACCTACAACTTCAAAAAAATAGTACAAACAAGACATAAGTAGCGTAAAAACGTTGAAACTCAACAAAGCTCTGAAAAACATATTTGACAAAAAGCTGAAATTTTTTTAAAAAAATGCTTCAAATTTCTACAACGGGCCATTACCTATCATTAATCCTAACCAAATTGTTCTCCAAAAATACAAAGAAAAGAAGAACAATATCTTCCCTATTTTAGGTGACCTTCCTTGTATCTCTAGTTTGGTGGGGAAATTACCTGAGAGAGAGGTTACAGAAACAGAGTACATCCGAGAGAAGAAGCATTTCAGAGAAGCCTTGCCATCATATTCAAAGACTTCCACCAAACCCAAAAATGGCATTGGCCAACAAAAAAAAAAAAAAAGATGAAGTATAGGAAAAAAATAAGCACTTCATATTGGAAATTTTCTGTTCGCCTCATATTGTTCAGTTTGCTGCATAGAAATAAATCTTTCAAAGGTCCTTTAGAAATGCATCAATACTTTCGCACGTCCCATTCAAAGGGCTTCTATGCATTTTAAAAAGGAAAAAAAAAAGATACATCATCTCGTTCATGATAAATCCTCAAAATCTGTTTGGTAGTCCCAATGCTAGATGATGATGACTACCAAACATCATCTCGTTTTCATGATAAACGTATGTAATGGGATGATAAAATCCTAACTTTTTTTATCATCCCAAACTCAACTCCTACCAAACAAAAAAACACAGGTTAAACTGCCAGGAACCAACAAACAAGGTGACCTTTGGAGAAAAAAAAAAGGTCATAAATAGACCGTTGCTAAGAAAGGCAGAAAAAACAGCCCAAACCAAAACTCTTTAGTACAATATAAAAGCTTAAAATTGCAAATCAACTAAACAAATCCTAAACTGGAAAACCCTATATTAAGCAAATCAACAAAGAACATGAAAAACCTCCAAAGGTGATTCCAAAAGAAGGGAAAAACACAAAATGAAACTTTGCCGTAGATTCCGAAGACGAATGCACAAGGCTAGGATGAAAATTCAGTAAAATAACCTAAATCATAAAAACACCAAGAACAACATCAACAAAGTACAGTATGTAAGAGAACATATAACAAAGAAAAAGCAAAGTAAAGGAAAAGTCACAGGAGAAAACCTACAGCATTTAATTCACCATAGTTGAAGACATACTTAGAACGACTAAGGTACCATATATTTCCTTTTTTCAGTGAATAGGCAGCAACAAACATACGGAGTTATAAAAAATCAAGCACACCTCATGCAAAAGAGAAATGAATTCTTTCACATCTTGATAAATACTTCAAATATATACTAATCCCATGAACAACGACTGCAAAGCAGGCATCTTTAATGGGTTTTAAGTGGCTTTCAAATAGAGCCATGAAAAACCAGTGCTATAAAATTTAAGACCATCTTTAATGGGTTTTTCGTTACTGTTCATTTGTTTTTCGTCGTCGTTATCACGTGGCAAATGCATCTCTTACAAGACCAGTGCTATAAAACCACGTGAGCTAATTTTAAGACCATAACTTTATTAGAGGTGATGGTTGAATTAATTTAAAAAATTTCGTTACTTTATTAGCTTTAACAAAATCATAAGGACCAAAGCCATAAGAGAGCAAACGAAAAACAATATTTACAAGCAAGAACCAAGAAAAGGGAACAAGGAAAAAACATAGATCCAGCAATAAAGCGTAAAAGTGGAAGGCAATAAAATTAGTATCTCCATCTTCACAGCTAAACAGAGGAAATGAAATAAATAATCAAAAATAAGAAAGGAACAAGGAAAAGCACAGGAAAAAAGAGGAAATGAAATAAATAAACAAGGGCCAAAAAAAAAAAGGGAACAGTGAAGAACACAGATTGGGGAAGCAAAAAAATCAAAGATTCAAAAGGGAAAAAGAAGGGAACAACCAAAAATCCAGATTCAGTAATAAAACATAAAAGTAGAATGCAATAAAATCAGTATCTCTATCTTGACAGCTGAAAGTGAGAAGAAGAAACGAAATTAAAAAAGGGTCAAAATCACCTGAAGACCAGCAAAATCGACCAAGATGAAACTCCGCTGGGGAAAGGGTTTTGGAAAAGTTTTCCTGAGGCCAGCTCAAAACATAAGTCGCCTGAAGATTGGTGAAATCGACTAAGAGAAGGCATCCCTGTAGCGAGAAATCCAGCGGGCAAAAGAGAGGGAATGGCTGACCCAAAACCGCAATCGAAAGAAGACGCAATGAAACGTGCAAAACGAAAATTGGTAAAGCATAGGGAAAATGACCAGAAAATGCGTAAAAATAATCATAAGAAGTCACCTGAAGATCGGCGAAATCGACCAAAATGAAACTCCGTTAAGGAAAGGAGTCTGGAAAAGTTCTCCCGAGGAAATCTTTTCGCGAGGCCAGCTCAAAACACAAGTCACCGGAAGAAGATACGTGAAATCAGCCAAGAGAAGGCAACACAGCAACGAGAAGAAATCCAACAAACAAAAGAGAGGTCAATTGAAAGGAGATGGAGTGAAACGGGCAAAACAAAAAAATGGTAAAGCATAGGAAAAATGACCGGAAGGGACGAAACTCCATTAAGGAAATGAATCTGGAAAAGTTTTTCCCAGGCCATTGAGATGCAAAAACGATACACAAAAGAGGAAAAAGAGGACAAATAAAGGAGATAAAAAATAAACCAGCTAACGAAGTAGGCCGGGTGGCCTTGTAATAAAAATACGTTATGTTAATAATAAGACACGCTTTTGGCACGTGATACCGACAACGAAAAAGCAAATGAACAGTAATGCCTTTGGCTCTTAGAGTGTTATGTTAATAAACTATCCGAGTCGAATCGACTTTTGATCTAACCAAATCGAATCTCGAGCCAACTTTTTATATTCTGTTAGTTCAAACTCAATTCGATATGGATATTAACCAAGTTCGAGTCCAACTTTGACTCGAACTGATCACGAGCGAATCGACTCGTGTGCAATCCTAGTCTGCATGCAACAAAAACTTGCTAGTAGTTTCTAAATAATTCTTCTTATCTTACTTACCAATTTTAAATAATTCTTTTTTAACTTACTCTTTGAATTAATCTTTATATGACCTTGTTCGTTACAAATTGTTTTCCAAATTGTACTAAATTAGTTTAGTAAAAAGTTTTAAATTGCTCGCCTACAATATTATTTTAATCAAATTATTAATCTATTTCCACTCTATTAAAATTTTAATTCTTTAAAATTTTTAATTTAATAAAAAGTAGAAGTTGTTCCTAGCCTAGCAAAAGGTTTTTTCAGTCACCACTTTTATCTAATAAATCTATATTTCCTTGCAAAGTTATTTCTCAATTCCTTCTTGCATATTCGAATTTGCTGAATCCTTCCCTCCTAAATAGTTTAACACCTAAATGGGTATTTTAGACACAACATAGAATTAGAAATCTTTCAAAATAATTTATAATTTAAGCATATGGGATGGTTGATAAGAGATTGGTTTAGTAGTCAAGGTTGAGACCCTTAGATCTAAAGGGTCTAGGTTCAAATTCCTCATCCTTTTTCCCAGCTAGAAAAAAAAAATTTTAAATCATATGGCTAAACAAGTTTTTGATATTAGATTATCGTCTTTAAAGAACTAAGTAACATACATGAAATATGTTGCATCTATCATAATTTATTTGAAAGAAAAATATATTAAACTTTTACAAGAACTTGCTTACAAAATCAATAGATGTCAATTCTTACTACTTGAGAAGATTGTTAAATTGAAACTTGAAATATGTTGAAAAGAAAATACTATTTATTATAATACAAATGTTACTATTAAGAATACAAGTACTTGTAATTTAGCAATCTAAGAAGTGTCTTAAATTAGTCTACTATAAAGACTAAAATCTTATGCTACTGAATGCTGGCTTGCTGTAGTACACTTTATCGCTTTCAAGACTTGCCAATTCTTCTCCAACTCCTCTCTTTTTATGCAAGAGTTGTTGGAGTGTAGCTAATGCTAGTTGAATCAACAATTGCTGCTTTCTATTCTTTTACAGCTATCTGAAATATGTTTTTAAAACTGAATTAAGGTATCTAATGTGTGAATTAACTAGATGATTTGAAATAGGTTTTTAAGATTGAACTAAGATATCTAATGTGTGAATTAACTAGATGATAATATATCAGGCATTGGTCCGTCTCTTTCTCCGATTTTTAAATGATAAGATGGACAACTTAATTGCCTTGATCGTCTTTGGCAAAACTTTTGTCTAATTTTGAGCTATCTTAATCACTTAGTTCTACTTACCATCCGCTTCTTTTGGTCCCTTTTTTAACAATTCAACATATTTTTCAGATTGTGGAATTTTCATCACCCATGACATTTGTTAAACCACCTTCATTTTGGCCTTTTCCATCCATAAACTGGTTTCCTGATAAATTTCTTTTGTATGACATTCGAATAATTCTTCTTATAGAATTTGTTGCAAAAATTTCATATGCGGGAATTTTCATTCATTATAGATTTTTGAAGTTATCTTTTAATGCAATTGGAGGCTCATTATAAGTCTATCATATGCGATTTGCTGTGCAATCCAATGCTCTATTTGTTCTTTTTTACATGAACACGAATAGTTTTCAAAAGGATGGCATGTTGATTTAATGTTCATCCAAATAATATGGTTTTGGATAGGATGGCATGTACCATGGACAAATTCAGAATTTTAACTAAATATGATGGCTTCTACATATTTATATTGATTTTGAGTAAACATAAAATTTACTACATATGCTAATTTTCTACCATCTGTTTGCTCTGGATCAAAAAAATTCAATCAATGAACAAATCTATAATTCATGAGCTTTTGTAGAGTGAGAGTCATGGTTTGTCTTTGTCCTTCTACATTTAACTGTAATTGTTTATATAGATCCAAATATAATGGAACTCTACAAATACTAATATATTAGATGGTATTTGCAGTTTTCTCTTCCTGATGAAAAAACTTGACAAATAGAATAAATCTAGGATTCGGGCTGTGATTTAACACTCTTGCTTGATAAAATTTATATTTTAGGATATCCTGTAAAATTATAAACTATGATCATCCTATTAATCTCACTATTTTGGAATTTTGTGGATTAATTTTTTATGTGTTGGTAGAAAGTGGTGCCAAAATTTTTCGTCTAAAATACGAAAAAAAAATCAAGGACTCATTTTTTCTATTTCTTCTAGGCTAACAGGTGGTATTGTTCGAATTTTTTATTTAATGAGAATCATTGATTGGATCTCAATACTTTCTCTTTTTTTTTTTTCAACATGTAGTCTGAAAAGGAATTTTCTTTTGTTCAAAGTCTAACAGAATTAAGATTTGTTAACCTTAGTCTGTGACATTGAAAGACTATTGAGCTTTCCTTTTAATTCTTCTTTATTCTCATCCAATTTTATCATTTAACAATTCAAAGTTTCTAGACATTGTTTCACAATCACAAAATTCTGTTTTACATTCTTAACTATTTTCAAAATTCTATTTTACATTTTAAACTTTTTCTACAAAACCATGTCTATATGATCTGTAGCAATTCTATTGGTGAAAAAATAAGTCATGTGTTCATTTTACATGCATCTAATGTTTGTTTCTTGAAAATTATAAAACCTTTTATACCTAGAATTTCGAAATGTTTTTTTAAAACCATTGATCACTTATGATATATTCGAGTCTCAACAAAGAATCTTACCAACTAGATGTAGAATTTGTTCTCAATAGCATCTCTAGTATAGGAAATCAGTCTTTTTTGTAACAAGTCCTTTTTAGAAAGTCTGGGATCTCCATGTGAGGTTTTTCAGATTATTCGTATCTTCCTTTATGCAAATTTATAATTCTTTTATTCATTTTTACTACTATAATTCTTTGATCTACCTAATCCAATTTCTTTGTATTTTCTTAATGCATATCTACAATTTTTTCTTCATTTTTTACTACTATGTTTTTTTAATCTACCTAACACTATTATTTCCTCGCTAACATTTGTTTTTGTTACTTTATAATCATTTTTCAAAAATAAATCTAATTTTGGTAGATCTTTACAGATCTATTTTTATCTTTTTAACTAATTCTATATATTCTATATTGAAATAGTTTTTGACATCCTATTTTAATTTTACTATACAATGGTTCTATAAGTTACTACTTAAATCCTTAACATACACTCTACTATAATTTAAAATTTTTAAGAAAAGCATTGTAACTGTTTAGTATCTTCTATTTTACCTAAAAAGTCTAATATGATGAGTTTAGACTTGTCGCGTCCCATTTTTTTTGGAAAAAATAAGTTACGGGTTTATAAAAATGAATTTTGATTAATTTTGAGTGAAAATGAGTTTTTGATTTGTAGAGAATAAATAAAGAAAAAAGGGCCTAAAATGGGACTTAAAGTGCGACGATTTTGGCCAAAAAACAAAAGTCTAAAAAGGGTTTTTTAAGAAAAAATAGGAGTTACCACTTGGTATTGAATTAAGGTGTACCAAGTCACCCAAAAATGTATTCCAAAGTAGAGAAAACCCTTTTTAAACGACTCCAAATCTTCGAAAATCAAGAGAAATGGGCTCGGGAGTCACGGTTGAAAAAAGGGAAGGCAAGAATGAAATCCAAAGCACCCTTTCAATCGAGCCAAAACTAGTTACGTGATTTAGTCGAAAATTTTCTTAATTTAACTTATAAAACTTATCACATTTGGATGTTACTATATGGATGCAAACCTAGATCTAATGGGTATCGGGATGGTCGAAATATCTCTTCAAAGTTTGATGGGTGCAAACCACATTAATTGTAATGCCCCAAAAGTGAATCTTTAAAGAGGTTACGAATATGCAAAGAGTGAGACTTGAAAAAATAGAAAAAAATTATAATATACAAATATACGTGACCTAAAAGATAAGGATGCAACATAACAGGTGCGGGGGCTAAGATTCGTGACTCAATTTTCCCTTTTATAGAGGGAATACGAGCGTGCTAAGGCTAAAAAGCCATACTCATCCATATCCCATATTTAAAAGGTACTCCCTAATCTAATCAAGCAAATGTACTAACCTATTTCTAATTTTTCTTAAATGAAATATAAGTCTAAATATCATATTTCACACATAGGGATAAGGGATATACATATAGAGAAAATATCATGCAAAAATGGTAAGGATCCTAAAAAGTAGAAAATATGCATGAAATGTAACGATTTGTCACTCAAACATGATCTAGTGCGTGGACGGTCCCTAAGGGTCTAGCGTTGGACTAGCCCATGTCTATAAGTTCTCACTAGCGTTGGACTAGTGAGAAATTGGAAAGAAGGGCCACAACTAGCGTTGGACTAGTGTGGTGACGTCATGGATTTATTATAACCAAATAAATTATATAAAATATAATAAAAGCAAATAAACACATAAATCACATATAGTATATAGCACATAGCACATAAGCATGATATCTA